CATTAACATTTTTTAAATACAAAAAATTAAAATATTCTATTACAATATTATATTGTATTGAGATATGTAAATCGCTTGCAGATGTCCTTTAAAACATCAAATATTGCATCACGTACTGATTATAGAATTGTAATATATTTATAACTAAATAATTATGTCTCTATTTCTCTTATCTATATGTACATATATATAAATTTTTATAAAAGACTAAACATATATTATATTTTTAGAATTTGGCAAATTACAAACGTCACAAATTTATACAAACAAAAAGTCAAAAATTTATTCTGGAAATATCTTCCCATGTTATTTCTCATTTTAAATTATTGTATTATCTTAAGCCATTCAATAAAAGAAATCAATATCATAAATTAACATTTAAACATTTTAATAATATATCTACTTAAGTCGATCCATATTTTACAAAGTTCTGCCATTGTTGTTAAACAAACAAAAGCAAATATCTCAAACTGAGAATTGCACCTCTGGTGATAGAATTCGTAAGACAAAGGACTAGCTGATCCTGGATCAACCTGAAATTCTACTTTCAAATTCGGAATATCTCGCGTTACGAATATTCAACTGACCTATTGAAAACGCCCACCCAAATGAAAAAAAAAGCGGTGTAATATCTCTTAATATCGAAGCTGGATTTAATTCTCATATTTCGCGATTTTGAAACGCAAGAAGCCGTCGCGCTTAAATTAACCGCGAAATAAAATATGAGTTTGATCGAAGAATTTACAGTAGCTTCGAATATGAAGAGCGCTGAAAGAGCGAAATTAGATACGAATCAAAATGCGTCATAAGGATAAGAATTTGCTATAACAATCGTAATTGAATTAATTTGCGCTTTATTAAATAACAGTTCTGATTTATGAATCTTTTTCTTGTCACATTTTATTTTTCTTACTTCAATATCACATAATATTTATTTTTTCTCTTATCGAAAAAATGTGTCGTATCACTTTAAATATTGAGAATTATTTTTATACATTTATTATCAAGGAGTAACGTTTAAAGAAGATGTGTAGCAATGAACGATATCTTTTAGATTGCAATTATTCAATGTGTAAAAAATTATCTTTCTTAATATAGAAATTATACATGTTATAATACATTTTGATCCGTATCCAACTTTCTAAATAGCTAAAAGCGCTGATCTCATAATTATTTATCGATGTTTAATTTTATCTTTGTATGTAAATATACGATAATAGTACTAGATTCTTAACCAAAAAATTCTACATTTTCGGTGTCTTTTAAAAATAGTTGGAGCAAATTTAGTAAACTTATAATGTTTGTTGAATTGGGATGAAACAAGTTTTGCGTACAATTTTTTCCAAATCTGAAAATAAGTTGGAGCAAACAAAAGCTGCTCATAAAATTTTCAAGAGAAATCAGAGTTAAACAATATCACTGACATTCTTAAAAAAAAAATTAATCAACCGCAACCTGCAACCAAATGAAATGAAGCAACATTAGATATGCTGCTATTTGATATCTTACTGGTATTCTTTTTATCGATCGATTAATCGAAGTGCGCAGGTAGATTTTTTCTGATCACTGTTGCCGGCTATAAAACGAAGCCGCGCAATGAAGATCGCCTTACACTGTTTCACTATTGAGGTCTTGTGAACCAAGGCAAGCAAATAAATCTTTATCTCTATCGCAAATACGAGCAAGCATGATGCAGAACACGCTGTAAACAGAGCCGTGCCCAGGCATCGACTGTTCGGACTAAACAAACTTTTAAAAGGAAAGTGGACCAACTATAATTGACATTAGTTCATTTCATTCAAATTCCATTGTTTGCAATCCACAATATTGCTCTAGTTTGCTGCGTATTTCTGTATAATAGTTTTCAAACTAATTTCTACAGGTTATTGCTTTAGCTGAATCACATTAATTGGTTCATTCCACACAAAATGCATTACTTGCAGTTAAAAGTCTGATCTATTTACCTTAGATTCTGCAGTGCCGCGCTTGTACAAAATGCTGCCGCATCAATACCTCCATGTCTTGAAAATAATTTATGTTAAGGGGAATGTGGGCTCAAATATATCAATCCCTATGTTATCTTTATTAGAATGTAAAGCTCTCTCAAAGTCGGTGCCATCCGATTGAGGTGGAACTGGCGCAATGCCAAGTTACGTTAAGCGAATTTCTAACGAAAGTAGAGCAAACACTGACGTACGCGACGATCGCGTCACATGAAATCATTTTGTGTCGACCTTCGATCAGAGCGATTTATCATGCAACCTTACGCAACAAACGGCACGAATATTGAATCCAGATAAGTGGAGATTAATTTCCTGCAAATTCTAGGAAAATCGGGGCAAATTAGAAGAATTAAGAGAAATGTGATAATTAACAAGAACAGCTAAGTCCCTATTCGGTTGATAAAGAGTTATGTTGGTGACTCGAACTGCACCTCGATCGATATACTCGTATATCCGCTTTCTTCATGACGCAAAAAGCAGTGGCCTGTTTAAAGAGAAGTTTACACGCTTCATCTTTTACCCTCGTAAGACGTAACAAGTAAACCGCAAAGTTATGATTGACGCGGACCACAAGAACAATTTATGAAAAATCAGTTTAATAATGTGATAAAAGAGTCTGACGTTGCGTAAAACTCGTATTTCATCTTGAAATTTAACCTTCACTTATGCCCAGTTCGTAAGAAATGCGAATGGGGTGTAGCTATTACCAATAATCATTAGAAGCGACTTGAGACAATATTTGAAGATATTTTTTATAAAAATTTACGAAATTTATATGTAAAAACCAAAACAAAATATGATATATTTGCACAAAATATTTTACATAAATGTAAAATATGTACGTGCCATGAGGCAAGACAATACTAGATATTGGACATTTTATATGCACTCGAAGAAATGGAAAGAGCTTTGTTTTCTAGTATAATTTTGTTGGCGAGAAGGCATGACAATACTAGACACATTATAGAATCCTAAGCGATACTATATAGATCGAGATCATTACTCAAGATTAGTTTTGTTTTTTAAATAAATTTTCCATTATTACAACTACTTAATATTCAGGACACGTAAATCCTCCGTAAGATAGACTGTTTTCAACGCTCCTGAACAACAGAGCGTCTATATGCTTGTCTTAATGGTTTCTAATTAGTCCTAATTTCGACGTTAATTACATTGCTGTGAAGACCAGTGGAGAGGCCATATAGCCCTGTCCTTTCGTCCAAGTAAAGCATCTTTGCTCGAAGACTTGTACGAATGAAGAGTGACGGGAATGGAGTGGAATTACGTCGTTAACCTCAGAAACTTCCTTAAGCTCGCTATTACGCAGAATGTTACATACTACTAAACTTCCTTCAATTTGTCCGTTTAATGCACTGGCATATTTTCAGCAAGCAATGTTTTCCCATAAATTCAAATGCTCCCATCATCATTTTTCGTTATAGTTCGTTTATAATCGTCTTATCTTCTAACAGTACAAAATGCAAAAGTTTTTATATTATTCTGAAAGATGTAAAAAGTAATATTCAAATAGTATTTACTGCAGATTGAACATTATATGATCGTTTCAATGAAAAAAAGATCAATAAAAATAGAATCATAAGCGATACTATACATATAATCGAGATCATTACTCAAGATTTCCGTGTTAGTTTTGTTTTTTAAATAAATTTTCCATTATTACAACTAGTACTCAATATTCAGACATTCGTGAAACGCTATATATCGTTTTTGAAATAATAAAAAAAAGTTGGAAAGTAATGCAGAAAAAAAGAAAGAAAATTTCTTTCAAGATCTAAAGACATCTCAAGACATCTAAAAAAAAATAAAATAATAATTTCTGCAATTGTCGGATTTCAGAAGAAAAACTTGCAGCACAAATACATCATGTATAGCCCGCGAAAACTTTGACAGAATTTATAATGGTTCTACAGCGGAATTTGATTTTAAATTCTATCTTTATATTCAAATCAAAAAGTGGCATCAACACGAGTTTGTAAGAATCATGAAGTACCTCAATTAAACGGTTTAAATGCCGAAAGTTTAGGAACTTAAATTGTCTTAAACAATTAAGTTCCACGGCAGGCTTCTCGAATATGGGTCACAGTTCTAAATAGCAGCTGGATGTCACATTAAGTGGCGCTGTTAAACCAATATATAATAGAGCAATATGACTGCCGTTGCGTAATATATTACGGTTTTATTTATTAATTTAGAAAAATGCAATGTGTCGTTAATTTTATATAATGTGCAACTGCCATGATCAAATCTAGAAGCATGTCATCTCTAGTTATAACGTTTTTGCAATTAATCGCGTAATTTATTTTAATCAATCGTGTATTTCAATCTATCGGTTGTTATCTTTCTGCCAATCATTTTTACATATTATTACGCAGTTGTGCCATCAAAAGCACTTATAATTCACACAATTGCGAGTTACGGTCTGATCATTAAATGCTGCGCATATTAGGGTCAATGTCAATTGTCCAGCATGGCAGTTGAATAACACGATGAATGTGACGACGAGTATCCTGTTTTTGCTGTCACAATATTAATTTCTTCTTTCGCGAATTATGTTAAATATCATTTTCGTATATTTGTTACATCACTCGTGCTAAAGACAAAATGTATTAAAATTAATTTCTAGAGCTTGTCTATTAGTCGTAAACATTGCATACGTCATACGTGTGCAATTTGAAAATATTCCGGACGGAATTCAAATCGTAATAACTGCAATATTATACTTTTCGCTTGTTGTTTAGTGTCAAATGTGTAAATTTTGTGCGATTATGATGAAATAGTTCAGAGTATATAGAAGTAAAAACGAGATAATATAAAAATGACTTACATTCACGATAGATAGACATGTTAATATCAACTTCTACTACGCATCTACGCATCTACGCATCAACGCATAAACTGCAACTAATGCGATACTTGCCGAGCGATCGAAAATAATACCGATTTACGCGGCGGTTCTTTTCCCTCGCAAAAACTTACCCCAACAGAGCAGATTCCTCGGCAGTGGCTGCTGTCGGCATCCTGTTTCTCTCCCTAGAACAAAATGTCGACGAATAATCACATACGCCCGGCCCTAGCGGCATGTCGCGCCTCTATCCCGTCACAACACAATTTATAACAATATAAAAGCCATTAGCACAATAAGCGAGCAGCAATGTCACATGTTTGCTTTAGTCAAGCATTCTATTTTGGTTATTAAGAATCGGCTTCTCTTTCGACATCCAGCACACGAGCCGTTTGAATGTAAAATTACATCGTTTTCCACGGCCAATTAAACTGAGAGCCGTACAATCTCGCGCTCAGATATTGCGTACTTGAATAAATAAGAGAGAAGCCCTCTGAATTCCGGGTTAAAATAAAAGGGTATCACTTCAGTTTTAATTACCGTGCAATCGCAAAATATTATCTTTTAACAAATTCAGAATTTATTAATAATTGAAACATTTTATTTATTAATAATTGAAACATTTAATGCACAAAATATTTTAATCCTTCTGCTATTCTTTGTTTAATAGAAAAATTAGAGATTGTTATGTATAAATATACGTAGACATTTTATCTTTAAACTAAACATACAATGTAAATGTAAGTACAAAGTATTTTCGTCATATACTTAGCCGTGTTCAGAAATTAAGTTTTAATTGGTTGTAATTGAAAAAAAATTTTAACTTTCAAAATTATTTCTTTATTTTTATTTGAAAACTCATACTTTAATGTACTTTTTTAAATTATCGTCATCTGAATTAAGGTACTTGTCATACTGCGGCACAAGCTTCTGAGTTTTCTCTTCGAAGAACTCGGTCGCCAGAGACTTGAACCATTTCTCAACTACATTTCTCAACTACATTTCTCACTGCTTTGTAGCTGTCGAATTTCTCCAGCCGGTAAAAATATTTTCAAACAGAAGAGAAAGAAATGCTGCTGCAATTCTGATTTTTTTATATTCTTAGTAAACACTCAACAATGACAATGCAGTAAACAGTGCATTTGAGCTTTTCGAAAAGAAACTTTAAAAGTTTGTGCCGCGATATGATGAGTATTTTATCCCAGATGGCAATTATATAGAGAAGTAGATTAAAATATTTACTTCCATATAAAAATAAAATAATTTCGAAAATAAAATTCTTTTATTTATTAAGAATTAATTAAAACATGATTATTGGATATACCTCTTATTTTATAGCCAATAGGTTTTACAAAGACTCTGAACTTTATTTATTTATTGTAACAAAAAAAAAGCAGGCAAGGTAGACATGTATTAAGTAACTCAATTAGATAAATTAGAAAATCATAACAAGAATATAAGTTAAAGCACTTCAGATGCATTATTTCCAAAAATTAAAGTCTTATTGCAAATATGACAGTATTAATTTATGACCGATCTATTTATTTAAACTGACTCGAATGATAATTCCCGGAGTTCCCGATTGCTTATCGAGAGTCATCCTCGGCCAACTCGATCCGGGAAGCCGGTTCCGCAATGCACGCGTTTCCGTCGCGCGCTGCGAAGCGTCGCGGGCGGTCGCAACTCGAGCGTTACAAGGACAAAAGAAGACGACCGATCGCGTGCGTGTAACAGAGAGGATACTAATAACAGTAACAACGATGAACTAAGCGATGATGATGATTGCAGTCACACGTGGACAAAGGGATGCGCAAAGCTAGTGTTACTTGTGCAAACGTGTAAGACCTGAAGCGTGAGGGAAAGAAATGACTTTTTCAAGTGTCACAATCGTGACTTACCTTCAGTTTGCTTCTGTACAAGTTGATCAGTAGCAGTGTCCTGCAACGTCCGATTCTAAAGTTTGTCCGTACTTACGATTAAACGTTTAAAGAGTTAAAGATGAGAGGTTGGCTCTCCCACTCGCTTTGTTGACTCACTTTGTGTATATAAGGCCAGTTTGTATATTTGTAATAAGCGAGATATTTGCGAAGTGTTTCACGAAGTCAACATCTTTAAATTTTTTTAATTCTTTGGATCGACACTTGGATCAAGTTTATCCTCGCGTTAAACTAATATTCTATCTCTACAAAAGCTGCAAAGAAAATGCGTTAAAAAATTTTTTCGTTTTATTGGTATGTGCTAATATGCAAACTATTCGCGCAATCATTGATTTCTCTATGGAAAACGAACAATTTTTAACAGCGTGGGTTATTTGCCAAACAATTTGTAGCATGCGCGCAAAAATGCAGAAAATCTTTTGGTTTATCAAATTCCGAGTAACGTGAGAGTTGATTTAGTTTTCAAAAATGTTAATTTTGACAAATATGCACCGGAAACTTTAGACAATATTAAAGCAAATAATTGTTGTTAATAATATTAAATATGAATAAATTGCAAGCGAAGGTGTTGTTGCGCAACATTGGCTAGCAATATTTTCCGAACGAAAAATGTTTTCCTGATTGATTCTATTTCGATATTTTTCATTACTAAAAAAAATAGCTGTTATTTAATTGTTGTTTAATAAACAGCTAATATTTAAATTTATGTAATGTTCTGAAAGAACTACAATTTTGAAAGTAGAAGTAGACAAATATCTGAAAAATCTGCAGGTCAACATTCTGCAATAATGAAAATCATATGATTCTATTTTTCATGCAATTAACAAATCAAGCAAGCTACATATTTTGCAGACTTATAGAATTGACATAAAAATAATGTATTTTCAGATAATGATTCAACTCTACTTTCGTAGTTCTGAAATTTCATGTTGTGAAGATTTTTTTAGTTTGTATGTTGTTGTGAAAATTTTTTTAGTTTATATGTTGTGATATTTTTTTTGTTTTTTTATATAATATTTTTACCACTATTAAAGTCTATAGATATTACTATAATATTTATCTCACATAATAATTTTTTATACTACTTTAATATGTTATAATAGTAGAGACGCTTTCAGCCTTTAACCATGCAACAAAAGTTGTGAAAATTGCGTTAATAGTGTGACAATCGGTTTTATAAAATCCGTCCGCCACAGTTAACAGCAAAAGCATTATTATAACCATGCCCCGATGTCTTCGACCTCAAAATGCTTGTCGCCTACAAATTCCTTAGCGATTCTATCGCTGATTGTACATCAGCCTTATCTTTGAATCTCAAATTCTTAGTATTCATTGCGCGTTAGATAGGTACGTAGTGTGAGCGAGATAGAATCGAATCTCCTCTACATTATTCAAATCTTGCTCTTCTGAGAATAATGTATCTCTTTGATTTGCAAAATTCTAACATCTTTTCCGGATAAATCTGTGAGAGATGTTGACAGCGACAACATGAATGTATAAAATACGGTTCTTTCATGAAAATTGAGTTGAATCATTTACATAATTTTTTACCGATCTTTCGTAGAAATATATAAAAATTACTGATTATTGCTGTAATTCGTGGAAATTTAATATAAAACATTTAATAACAATTCTGTTTCTAGTTCAAATATTTAATTTTTATTATTTGTAACTAAACAAATTTTATTTGTGCACATAAATGCGCAAGAAACTAATATAATACACTGTAAAAAAATTCGATAAATTTACACAACTGAGATGTAAAAATTACATGATAAATAACGGAAATATACTAAATAAATAGCATAAAATTTATAAAATTATGTAAATTTACATTATATATTTAATAAATTTCTGTTATTTATTGTGTAATTTTTAACATCTCAGTTATGTAAATTTACCCATTTTTTTTTAGTGTACAAAAAGAACTTCAAAGAGAGAACTTTAATAAAATTCCACGCTCGAAAAGACGACTAGATTCGAGATCGAAGAACTGCAATAAGAGGCAGAACAATATTCCCCGCGACTGCACCCCTACCTGCCGACCGGTTTCTCTCCCGTATTCCCGAACAATGTCGTTTAAACCATTACCTTGAGACGATCGAGACGCTTTCGCGACGGTCCTCGATCAGCGGGTCCTTCTTCCGGATTTCAACCTTCGGCGAAGCGAAGTTAAAAGCTTTCTTGACGGAATCGAAGACGCTTTGGCCGGTGGTTTGTGTTTGGTCGACGATGGTTGTGCTTTTGTAAACGTCTTCGCCCAGGTCACCTAATGACCTGTACGAAGCGCCAATACCTGCCGGCATGGCGTGACCTTTTGTCGCTCTGCCTCGTTCACGATGTCGCCTCTCGCTCGAGACGACTTTAGTCGTCGCGCTGATCGGGGATGGATGATTTCCACCGCCCGGGTGGATGCCCTCTCGGCGAAGACTCGCCTCGAAAACGCCTGGAGTATGAGGCGTTGCTGTTGCCGTTGATGATGAAAGGCGTGCCCGAAGCCAATATGCCAATATCGCACGTCAACAAGGCAAACGAACGGCAAAGAAACAAAAGAAAGAAAAAACAAGGGTAAGGAGATCCTATAACAGCGATCGCAGCGCGATTCGAGGCATCGGCGAACGTTAAATTTTATTTTATGTCGATTTCTTTAGAAATAAAAAACAAACATTAAAGAAGCCATTTAACAGCAGCATTCTCATGATTTTTCTCATTATTATAAACCTAATATAAAAACTGACCATTATCAGTGCAAATGATATAATTGAATCTTATTAGAGAAAATGTGTAATATTTGCTTCTTTCTCATTTCTATCAGAGATTTTATTGCTAATAAAAATATAATAAACATTTTAACAAGTTTTATATTGTCAAGAAAATTAAAATTAAAAAAGGAAGTTTTATGACAGATATAAAATTTCATTTCTTATATATTGTAGTGCATTTTCTTTTTTACATCCGTACGTAAAGTTTATATTCATGTTCTGATAATTTCTTTCTAGTACTTTATCTGCATCATAATTTATTAAATTTATTTTGTTGTGATGCATTTATTCTATTTTCAAAATAGAATTGAAGTAATTTTGATGTAAAACTACTTCAGTAACGAACTTTGCAATTGTATTATTAATTGTAATAATAACAAATAAATAATTGCGATGAAGTTCAGCTGCTATGTAAATAGATACAATAAAATTTACACATGTTGGAAAAACTTTTCAGTTTTTTTATCGTTTATGTTTTCATATATATTAGTTGAATTTTTGCTTTTGTTCTTTCTCATTGCTTTTAATCATTTAGTTTTATTGTAAGTTATTGCTATGTGTAATCACACATTATTTTCTTTATTATTCGCAATATATTGCACGTTAATTAGATATATTTTAATTAGAAAACAGAAAAAATTAATTATTATTATGCAAATAAAATAGTGGAAATGAGAGTGCGCAGTTGTACAACTTGATTAATTAATTAATTAATTTCTCTGTCATAATTATAACTCTGCAAAAAGGTATATCAACTCTTTTCATCGTGCAATTTATTTTATACAGTTTCTAATGTTAATAGTTTTAACCACTGTTGTATTTCAATTTAAATGTATTCAAATTGAATAAACATGGACAAAAGATATAAATAGTTTTCTCTGTTTTCTGTCGTTAGCACGAATTTCTGGAATAAAATCGTGTACTGTTGTACGAATATACAAACAGAGAGAAGCTCAAATACTCTCATCCCCTCTCAATGAATAAACGGATAAGCTACTATTGTTTCAGTAGATCAGCATTATTTACTCTTGTAATGATTACCAAATCAATACAAATTTAATACATCTTATCATCACGTGTGGTATTATATATATTCAGCAAATATATAAATATACATATAATTGTATCAACTAATAAATATGGTAGACATAAATGCAATTTTATTTTGACTCTCAGTTAAATTGATTCAAGCTATTAAATTATTAGTTATAATTTTATTTCTCTCGTAATTAATATCTTTAGATTTAATAAACAATTGATAAAATTTTGATGTCCCAAAATATATTTTTAATGGCAGCGACAATTAAACTAATGTAGAAAGAATTTTTACTTTTTGAAAAAGAAATATTTATCCATTAAAACTGCTGCTATCTAATAATAATATGATATTCTATAAAATATTTATGAAATTGTATTTGAAATTGTATAAGATTGATTGAAGGAAAGAAATTATCTGAGAAATTATCAGAACATGTAGCTCTTCAGCATAATTTCTGCTGTTTAAGTAATCTTATTGCGCATTTTAACCGAAAACGTTTTCGCCGATGCCACAGAATCGTCCTTGCAAAAAAGGGAGAAATAAAGATGCGTGTCAAGGTATGATCATCGACATGCACAAGATCCATCGACTTTATCGAGAGAATCATGCATAGCGACATGTCAATCGTGAAGTGTTCAGTTATGCATCTTCGTGAAACACATAACAGTAAACGTGCGACTAAGAAACAGTAATTTGTGTTCAATTTTCTTCTAGTTGACTATCTTTGAAAGCAAATCAAGCGCATGCAATAATCAACGTATAAAGTACAAATCAGCAAAATAACTCAATTTCTCTCAATGGCTGATTGCGTTTTGCAAGATTGGCATAAAACGTGACACAAATTTCAGAGAAACAAATGAATGCATGCAAAAAATGAATTGATTTGCTCGGTACGTGTGCGGATTCGTCTGCGATTAACGTCACTTCGTCGATCCATCGATCAAAAGAGACACGCACTTCCCATATCTCCCCCTCTTAGTTTTCCACATCGACATCGCTGATAATAATAATCAATAAGCACATCCACTTCGTTGCACGCTCGAATATCAGATCTCTCGATATAATTGCTCATCGATATCATGTACTCGTTCAATAAATCGCATTTTTAAAGAACCGGTTTAAGACTAGATTTGCATTTAAAAATTTTTCATGAATTGTTTTCGAGCAGAATCTTTCCAAGCCATACGATTAGCCGTGGATCAGTTGCAAAAATAAAGCCATAACTCGTTTTTGAAAAAAGAGTAAAATTTGTCAAGTGACAGAAATATGAACGTAGCACTGGTTTGACATCGCACGCGCATTTTCCTGTTAATTAACATTTCTGTCGGACAAAACAATTTATTCCGTGACAAAATGTAACGAGATTATATGAGTACAATTATTCTGCGCCAAGAATGACAAACGCACAATCGACATTAAAGTAAAATGCATGAAGCACCTTTGACAATGGCTCTAAATGTGAAAAAAATATCCCAATTATTTTACGATAAGATATATATATATATAAATTCTATTATTTCGAATAAACCAATTATTGAATGACAAATTGTTAAAAGAAACACACAACGTCCATACAAATTTTTTAAAGATGTAGATATTTATGTATGTACTCTTTAATAAATATCTTTTCTAATTTAGCAATAAAATAATTAACTTATACTTCATTTTATGAAGTACTTTTATATATTTCGAATTATATTAATAATTATTCGAAAAAAATGGGATGTACGGCGTAAATTAAAATAATCCACGATGCATGAATATTATGACAAAAAAGTTAAAGATAAGATAACGTGGAAGAATGTTTCTATTTCACAATTTATTTCTCCCACTGTAAGGCAAACGCGTGTCATTCCGGAGCCACTCTTCAAATATCGATAGCGCCGAGTGCGATAGATGTGGATCAGCTGCGGACTCGGCTTGCTTATGTCGGTCTCGAGCTAGCAGACGGAAAATCGATTTGGCCAGGACCTTTCCGGGCAAAATATGTATGCATATCGCCGTTGGGGTTCACGCGGTGATCACCAATTCGCCGATAAACTTCCGCGCGCGTGTTATAAGCGAGTCCCAGGAGAGTCGCGTATTGATTTTTCATGTGGATATTCGCGTGTAACGTCGGGGTTAACCTCGTTTCTTGACGTCTAATTTTTCGCCCGACGCTAGCTGACTTAACATCGACCGAGTCGTCCAGCTGATAAATGATATTTTAGTAACGGCTACACGACAAACAACACAATATACATTAGATTCGTTCAGTTTTCATTGATCCACGACTGATCCAAGTGACTAGGGATTGCGATTATCGGGGTTACCCAGAGTCGATCGTTCGCCATGCAAAATTAAGATGTCGTTATTAATACCAGCTATAAAACTCACCAAAGAGTATATTGTATTTAGAAATATTTTAGAAATCTATACTACTTTCGATATAATTGCGGTAAATTGAATTCTATTCAAAGAATAATATCTTTATCATTATTTTATCTTATTAGGTCAACTTGACAGATCTCAACTTGTTTTAGTGGCATTAAAAAATGTATTTTTTTTGTGTACGAAATTTTTCTTAGAGTTATTTGTTTTCCCAAATTATCAGATCACATTTATTCAGCTAAATTTTTCGTTCTGAAAGCGTATATTAATTTACGAAGGAATAGCTGAGTTAAATAGCTAATCTTTTTTCATTTATTATGCTCTGATATATCAAAAAATGCAGAAATTGGAAAAAGAATTTTTATAAGTCATTTTAAGCTCCAATTCAACGTGATATTTTTTATCATGTCCTTTTATCAAAGTTAATATTAAGTCCAATTAAGATGAAGGCTTGATTTAATACCCAGCTTTGAAAATAAAAATTATATTATTGATCTGTCAAAAAATTTTATCACGCGTAATAGTTTATTTTCGTCTCTTGTAATTATTTTTCCATCGTCTAACGTAGCATCGATCCAGCACGTTTCGAGCGTCGTTGAAGCAGCTGCAAGCTGTTACGTCTGCGATCAGATAGCGAGTAAGATAATTGTGGACGCTGGTGGGAATCAGGACGCGTGAAGAGATACATACTAGATCATCTTTTCGAAAAGAATGAAAAATATTTTTCTGAGAAATGAAATATTGCGTCTTTTTGACAGAGCAATATAAAACAAATAATTTTTAGTTTCTAGCTTTTAGAATTTTGTGACATCTTATAAAATGCATTAAATGTCCTGCATTTAAAGAGATTCAGAAATTATCGATTAGTTTCTTACTGTCATTAAATTTGACATTCAATAACGACAATGATCGATCCGTGAAAGTCGTCGTTATGTAAACGTGAACTAGTTTTTAGAAAGTTTAGGAGCGGAAAGTAATCTACAAACATTTTAATAATATTGCTTTTGCGTTAAGACAAAATAGCTTATAAAATGCTAAAAATTTCCGAAAGGAGATTACGAAGGGAACTGACAGGAGTCCGGGAAAGGTTTAATCCCCATAAATCGCAGTGCGTAACAACGAGCAGAAACGCTCGATCGACAACTGTCAGCTCGGGCTGACAACCGTCTCAACGACTATCCATTTTACGACGTCTTATTTTCCTCGGAACGATCGATCGTTCGGGTTAACCCCGTTTCCTGTCCAACCATTTTCGTCCCGACGAAACCGGTCCGCCTAGGAGGCGACGCTACCGCGAGATCGTTTGCACAACGTCGTTGACGTGCGATCGATCTAGCGCACCAGGTTCGACCTTCGTGGCCGCAACGCCGCATGACTCAGCCGACGTCACCGACCGCGGTTCGCCGCTGCAATCTTCGTCAGCGACGATGACGACGACGACGGACGGCGACGAGGTCCGCGTGCGAGCGCGGGATACCGATGCGCGCGCGTGCACGCGATTACCTATACGATTTCACAAGCGCGCACGTACGACTGTCCATCGGTACTATCACAGACGTAACGCTGATCGATACAGACAAAGGGCAGGTATGTGGGTAGGTGGATGTATAACGGACGGAAAGGACAATTCGTCCAGAACTCACCTCTTCCTGCGCGAGTTCCGCTGCGGGGTTTGGGTACCGAAGAAGAGTTGCAGCTTTCCTGCAGCCTTTAAACGCGATTACCACGAAAACTTTCGACGACTCGCTTCGAAACACGCGTAATTGGAAGTCGATCGCGTTTTTATGCGATGTGATAGCTGATGGCTATGCCGATCGTTCGCTCGACGTATCGTTTTTTCGACGTTACGTTACGAGACGTGCGAAGACGGTCGCGACGAGACTGACGTTAAAGACCACACGATGCTCCCAACGACGTTGCACGTTACTATTGGCGCAAGTATACAGCTCCTACAGACTGGTCAATGGAAATGCGCGTTGCTTCATGCGCGGTACACACTGGATCGAACCGGTTACAGACAAACTGCCGACATCTGGTCAGGAAAAAGCGCACCCTCCCTGTTCAGCGTTCCTTAAACGCGCGAAACACGAGGACGACCTTAGGGACTCGGTCGGTCGTTTATCGGGTGAAAGTACAATCCCTACATGAGGCTCAGCAGATTGCAGAGAACCGCGATATCTAATGTAGGTACAATGCGAGTATATGTATCGAAAGATGGAACGAATTTCTTTATGTTGTTATTGATAATTTTACATTTTCATGCTTGTAACATGATTCTATACGCAAAGGAACTTAAACTGAAGGGACGTTTTACGATTGCATTTATATTTAATCTATATTTCATATGGCAATGAACACTCTCTATGTTCTTCTTTATACTTATAGTTTGTTAAGTTAATTATATCCTCAAGTCTTCAAGTAAATATCAACGTAAGATGCTTGGTACGCGTGATGCAAGATAATTCCGGTTGAATCCAGTTTAAGCGCAAATATGCCTAAACTCACATATTCCTAGCATGTTAGTGTTGCATTCCTAAAAGCTATATGTATAAGCGAAAATAGTAAGCAAGAGTAATAAATAAAGCGTGGGCGTTTATTGCACGCTTGGCAATATATCCACATCAATGCAAGCCATTTGTTCGACACTTTGCATTTATTTCGGAACGCTAAATACATTTTTAGAAATTCAATTGAATTCTCGAGTATCATGTTCGATTACCGCCTACTCTCATCTGGATCTTTTGATTGCCTTCCGTTTGCTCCGATCCTCAAATTAGCCCGCAAGAGCCAGAGATCTGTATAAGCGACTGTCTCTCGTAATCGAACCGAGCTGAGTAACAGAAGAATGGAACAACGGACAGGAAGTGCTCTCGAGAGGGTTTAAGAGGCGTTACGTTTTATGGAATTCATTCGGAAGCGAGCTGGAGAGATTAAATGTGAGACGAAGGAAGCTGCGATGAGATCTCTACGGTTAGAATCGGTGCCGCAGAATTGCGGAAACGTAACCTAGAAGAGAGAGGATTTCAAATCGCGAAAATCTCTCTATTAGCTCCTATCGGCTGCCTCCGACGAGTGCAGAAGAACATTTTGCACTGTTCATTCCGTCAGCAAAATAATTCGCATATTACTCTGTTTTACTTAGGTTTGATTTGAGAAATTGTACTACATGTCTTTTACGGTGATTCAAAGAAATGGGAAAGATGATTCTGTTTTTACTTCTTAATTAAATAATAGTAATAATGTTAAAAAAATAAATATTACCGGTGTAGAAAATGAAAAGGCGCGAAATATATCGGGAGAGAAACCTCTAACATTTTTTCCTATATCTGCTTACGAATCCTGCCGAAGTGATGTACCACATCTGAACGCTCACCTCGAACTAGCCTCCCTCCCTTCACCCTCCCCCAACTTCCATCTTTGAGCGTTACTGCTAACCTTTGAAATCCTCTCTCCGCGAAATGATATATATCTCCCCGAGTATATTCATCATAAAAATGTATATTTATGTATACTTTCGCTAGCCCGTCGCTTGGTTATACATACATATATTGTTACCGCACGTCACTCTTGCGGACTTACCGCCGCTCTGCTGCGTGTACATCGCAAAGGGTGCTTTATAATACGTGTGGAACGTAGCGGACATATTTTCCGCGTCCTCCCAGTATGTTGTATTCCTTCGCTACAGGAGCCGGTCCTTTGTAGAAAAAAAACTCAGTAGGGGTGGTATTTAGTTTGTCAACCGCCATGAAGAATCGCCACAAGGAGAGCCGGGGCTTTACAGTTATATGGAACATTTGGTTGCGCTCTGTTATAATATTTAGATCCATGTAGAACAAACGTGTTTTATATCTCGTATGTGCTCAGGGGATGAAAATATATGTTACGGCGAGATAGAATTATTTTGTGATTATATTTTGCCAGATAATGATATTCGCGATATGATTTAAAAATTAAAATGGATTATGTAATCAGATTCATTACAAATTCTTATTGATATTGCATCAAAGCATTTCTATTTAATGAAAAAATTCAGACTGGGGAGTTGAACGTAAATTTCGGATTAAATTGATTAGAAAATACGATCTGTTTACAATGAAAATATTTTCATAATAGTAAAGCAATATCCGTGGCCGCCATTATGAACACCCATGAGATTTTCGCCCTAGAGAAACAGGTGCAACCGGTCTTGGGATACAACGTGTAACGTGTTACGATGCTTTTCCCGTGGGCGCTCTTCGATAAATTCGCCCACAGGATCTTCCTTACGGGACACGAGAGGCGTGCTGGTACGCCATACTAAAGTTCGTTTAAAGGAAAACAAAATTTTGGCGAAAATGCAGCACCATGAGAAATACGGCACTAACACTAGAAATATAATTATGGCTTCACAGGGATGTACGAAATACGCAGTTCACGATATCGAATTATCGATCAGTGGAGTTGCAATTATTTTAATTATATGCGTATTCATTATGTACGTTCAATGATATTCCCGAGAGCTTTTAACAAGTATTATGAATAGTTACTGCTTTATCATATTTAAAGGGTAAAATTATATTGCTATGTTGCTATATATATATATATATATATATATATATATATT